GGGGGGGTGCTAGAAAATTTTGGGGGGGTGCGCACCCCCCTGCACCCCCCCAGAAAATCCGCCCCTGTGTTAAACTGGTATCCAAGATGCCTGAACCAAGAATTCGTCACAGCACAGTACTGTGTGGTGATAGTATTTTGATCGTTGGAGGAAAGAACTCAAGGGACTGCAAAGACAACCTTAGCAGTGTCTTAAGCTATGACATAAAGAAGAATGAATGTCAACAGTTACCTGCGCTTCCCTATCCAGTGAGTGCAATGGCGACAGTCAAGTGGGCTGAGAATGTCGTGATCATTGGTGGGGCTGACAAGGATGATAAAGCATTAAACAATGTTATAATTTATAACATCAAGACTGGAAACAGTCATATGTTGCCTCCCATGTTACACGACAGGAAAGGATGTATGGCAGTTGTTAGTGAGAATACAATTGTAGTACTAGGAGGCAAGGATGAGAGAGGGAATCATTTGAAATCAGTTGAAGGTTTCAATTTTGAGCGATTTTCATGGGAGGAACTTCCTGAAATGAAGGAAGCCAGATACCAGGCTACAGCTGTCGTAATTTAGACATGATCGCAAATTATTGTATATATGTTTTGTAGAATTATTAAACTTTGACATGTATCTCAAACGTTTTCGAAATTAGCATAGATCAAAGAAGTGCTTGACTTTTGCGATGTGTTGTAAATATTATGTAGAGTAGAATATGTTAAAATGCATGCTAGAATATAATATAATATTTTTTGTTTGTGGAAACACCACGTAAATTATTACTGCGAAGTTTTCGATCCGTAAGCCCGGATCTTCAGCAGTGCTAATAATATTTTATCGCCATGCAGTCATATACAAAGAACTTATTAGCATGCCAGAATGTTGAAATATACTTAATATTTTTTCTGGTTTAGAAAATAGATTAAAGAACCATTTTATACCATAACTCATCGACTCTCATGCATTCTCATCAACTCTCTCCAACTTTGAGTTGGTTCAAATTTTATGAAAGTCGATAAGAGTTTTCGCTATTGAGCAGTAATACCCAGTCAACTCTCATCAACTCTCATGCAAAGTCTCGCTTCTCAATCATCAACTCTCATGCAAACTCTCGCTTCTCAACTCTCATCAACTCTCATGCAAACTCTCGCTTCTCAATTCTCATCAACTCTCATGCAAACTCTCGCTTCTGAACTCTCATCAACTCTCATGCAAACTCTCACTTCTGAACTTTCATCAACTCTCACGCAAACTCTCACTTCTGAACTTTCATCAACTCTCATGCAAACTCTCGCTTCTCAACTCTCATCAACTCTCATTGTGGTTTGAGCAAGGTTTAACTGAGCCTCGGTCAAACGAGGACAAGAGTTGATGAGAGTTGGCAGTCACGCATTCAAGTTTTAAATGAACAAAATAAAGCTTTCGTGAGTGTTCCAACTATGTTTTAATAGAATACATGATAGTGTTGGGAGCCTCAGGTGAATTGCGCAACCACGGCTTGTGCAATCAACATTAAATAAATCATTATTATTATAATTTTAATTATCACAAACCTCAATGCCTTCCCTCATATATTCCTCTTGTTCAGATTTCAATGTCAGCTCAATGAACAGTTGCTGGAGCTTCTCGTTGCAATAGTTGATGCAAAATTGTTCAAAACTACAGAGAAATAAAAACATTGTTAACCTTCCACTAGGTCGGAAGCTTCTTATCACAGATCGTTTGTGAAACACTTGGATAGCGCAAAAGAAAAACCAAAATCATATAATAATGACTACACGCGTAAAAGTGTCACAATTTGTCAACAAGATGTGTTCGTAACAGGCTTGTAGCAAGCTTATCAACAAATTGTAACAATGTTGTTATTGTATCCAGACTTGTCACAACAACTGGGAACAAGCAGTGCGAACACATCCTGATATCAGCTTGACAACAACCTTGTTACAACTTGTCTGAAGATCTCTAACAACTGGCTCGTTTTTACGTGTATACACAAGCTGTAAGTTCTTTCAACGTTTTTGCCTTAGATTTAATTTAATATATAGTTTAATTCAGTGGCGAAACTATAGTCATAGCAACAAGTCATGCTATGCACATTATTAATGATTTGCATGATTCAAACTTTAGAAATATATTGCCTTTAACCTAATTAGGTATACGTAAAACGCACAAGTTGTTACAGGTCTGCAAACAAGTTGTCACAATTCTGTTCACAAGCTGTCGACAAGTTGTGTTCGCACTGCTTGTTCCCAGTTGTTGCAACAAGTTTGGAACAAGCTGTTAACAACTTGTAACAAGCTTGATGACATTATCTGACTTGTAGCGAAGTTGTTCTAACAAGTCTGATACAGTCATGATATAACAAGAATGTTACAAGGTTGACAACACAAGTTTGTAACAATATTGTTATATCATGACTGTGTCGGACTTGTTGGAATAACCTTGCAACAAGTACGATAATGTCAACAAGATTGTTACTACAAGTTGTCAACGGCTTGTTCCAAACTTGTTGACAACAAGATGAGACATGTGTCCAGGTAGTACCAAAGATTAGGTGCTATAAAGATGTGCCACTCTGCGAAAATTATATCCGAGATTTTTTTTATAGCCGCCATTTTGCCAGTAAGTGTCAAATTCGTCATATAGCGCGAGCATCGCGATGGCAACCTATTGTATTCAGTGACTCAGTCTTGCCGCCATTTTGGCAGTAAGTGTCAAATTCGTCATATAGCGCGAGCATCGCGATGGCAACCTATTTTATTCAGTGATTCAGTCTTGCCGCCATTTTGACAGTAAGTGTCAAATTCGTCATATAGCGCGAGCATCGCGATGGCAACCTATTCTATTCAGTGACTCAGTCTCGCCGCCATTTTGGCAGTAAGTGTCAAATTCGTCATATAGCGCGAGCATCGCGATGGCAACCTATTGTATTCAGTCTTGCCGCCATTTTGGCAGTAAGTGATAAATTATGTACTCGTCATCTCGCGTGATCACTCGTGATCACTCGAGTGGCACATCTTTATAGTATCTAATCTTTGGTAGTACACACGTAAAAATCTCAGTTATCTCACAACTTGTCAACAAGATGTGTTCGCAACAGGCTTGTCAACAAGTTGTAACAAATAACAATGCCAAGTTGCTCACAAGGTTGTTACTCACAACTTTGTTTTGTTTTGTTTGCTTTACAGCCAGCGATAGAGGCAAGTTGCAAACGACCTACTACTTTATTCTCAGATTTTGTGATTAACAACGTCGCGTTATATTTAACAATTATTCGCCGAAGGCGAGGTGATTATCGGGGAAAATTATACCTCAAATTCAAATTGTCCAATCAAGAAGCTTAGTTTGCGCCACGTGAGCATGAAATTAATTGCGATATCACGCCTTACGTCATCAATTAGGGAGCCTGCGTTCCTTTTGACAATGTTCCACCCCATGTATGATGTTTTGAACACATTCTCCAGAATGGTCATCGATCAAATTTTTAAGTTTTTCATTATGAAGGTAACAAAATAAGGTTTTAAACGAGCTATGCGATCTATCCGACCGCTGACCATTCCCTTTGTCAGAAAAAACAGTGATCTTTCAGAAGCTACCATGGACGAACGGAACGGAATAATGTTTTCATTTTCCATCACGTACTAAGGAATATGACAAGAAAAAATGGTATTTCAAAAGAATTGAATATCCATCGGTAGTTAAGCGTCCAAAGCAGTTTGTTTACAAACTAGTCGTTCCAGCTCCAGATTAAAATTGTATCTGGAGCTGGCTCCAGATTCGCCAATCTGGAGCTGCCAATATGGAGCTGTCTGGCTCGTCATGTTCCACCCCATGTTCCCCGGGTTATAAAGCCTATACAGCTTTTATAGCGAAGCCTTGGCGCCTTGTTGAGCGTAAGATAGCGCGGCCACAAAAATCCTGAATCAGACATGTTTAAGTTTTCGCTCGTTAAAAATCACGAAGTTAAAGCTCTTGTTTGACATATATAAACAAATCCCAATACAAAGAACGGCGCAACGAATCAAAAGCCAATATTCAAAAGGAAGTCATGACCTTTTGTCACACGACTTTGAATATTTCATTTCAGATCAAATTCTTGTCTGAGACACTTTATATGTGTGGCAACTCTCAGTCTATTACCCGTGGTGGCAATAAAACGACTTTAGAAGGAAGTGATATACGTCTGTTGTTTGAAACGGTTCTTTCAGTTATAAATTTCAAGGAAATACTATTAGTTTAAATACTATTGCAAATCCACGAAAACAAAGCCTGTGTATACGGATATCTTATATGGCTGTTTATGTGAGGATATTTGTGCTTGAAACTGGTTGAAGTAAGAATATAATTTGCTTTATATTTAAAGAACGGTGAGTATAAAATATGACATCAAGCTTATATTTGGACAAGATTTGTAGAGCACAGCGATCAGTAGTATTAAGCATCTAATACAGCCAGCAGACGAACTGAACTACTTATGCTTGTGATGTTACTCTAAGTGTATATCCAGACCGGGCAACCTTGAAAAATATGCCTGTCCTTTGGAATACTAGCCCAATGCTCTTGCAACTGAGCTACGCGGTCAGGTCGGTTCGAGTATGCGATATTTCGGAACAGAATCTAGTTCCTTCCATATCAATGCAATCTAGTATAATCATAATTTCAATATACCATTTTAAGTTAATACTTTCGTGCCTTGGAAATTTCCTACGATCCAGAAAATCCAAGAACATTCAAAACTATATGTACCAAGTGTAATACGGCTCAAACTCTGGTTCAGTCTCTTAAGTGCTGCTATTAGTTATATAGTTTTATTTAGATAGCTTTTATGTGGGTATGTCCTAACTCGAGCCCGCAGTAATTGGCTAACGCCGTTGCGGTCACCCTGTGTCACCCTGAGACTTAGTCTAGCCCTCATTATAGTATATCAAAATACAATGAGATTAGGGTACCTTAGGGTGTGTTAGGGTACATCAAACTACCTTAGATAAGACAAACATAGAGTACATTAGTCTACCTTAGCTTACCTTAGGGTACCTTGGCCAACCCTAGGGTATCTTGGAGTATACCACGTCTATACCTGCCTATACCTTGTAATAGTATTGTGTATTGTAATATGGCGAAACTAATAAATAAATAAATAAATAAAATATTTACTTTACTTTTAATATAGCGAGTAAATATGGCATCGAATTATCCACTCGGGTACGATGACGAAAGATTCGAGTCAATAGTGAACCAAAATTTCCACTGTTTGATTTGCTACAACGTATTGAAAGACCCCGTGATGTGCCGCACAAACGAGCATTATTTTTGCCGTGGCTGCATCACGGAACATCTTCGTAGGAATTCCCATACATGTCCAACATGCGCTGACGAACTGAATGTCGAAACATTGCAAGGCGTTCCAAGAATTGTGAAGAATTACTTAAACGAAACGTACGGCTGCAGAATTTAAAGCGACATGTCGCCGAATGCGGGTTTACTCCAGTCGTTTGTGGAAATCAAGGTTGTGGTGAGACAATCAGTAAAAGAGATCGTACATATCACGAGAGTGAACTGTGTCAATTTAGAAAGTTGAGGTGTCACAACTGTGGAGAAATCGGCACTACGATGGCGGGAATGAAAATGGAAATGGCGAACATCAACACGAATCAGGTGAACACGAGAAAGAAATTGGCAAACACGAACACGAACATGGCAAATATTAGAACGGAAATTGCAAATGTGAACACGAAAATGGAAAATATCAACACCGAAATGGTAGGCATCAACACGAAAATGGCAAACACGGACACGAAACTCGAAAACATGAACACGAAAATGGCAAACTTGCACGCAAACGTGGAAGCGAAGTTCGAAGCGATGAATAATGAAGTGAGAAGAATAAAAATGAGTTTAAATGAAGTAAAAGATGGTTTTGATCACTTGAAAGAAGCAGTACTTGGGAAGATAGAAAGCAAAGAAAGAAAGCAGGAGGAAATCACAAGAGATGTAAGTGGCACAGCGAGTGGCGGGAGAGAAAATCAACATATATTTGTTGCTGGTGGTTTTGGGAGAAACTCGGTAGAAATATTTAACTACCGTCAGAGATTGTGGTCTTTATTAAAGCCCATGCCAGAGAGTCGTAACAGCGCATGTTCATTTCTCTACAACAATCACGTGACTGTGGCGGGAGGTTATTGTGATGCGGCTGTAGATAACATGATCCGAATGAACATTCACCCAGTCCATGATCTCTCAAATAACTGGAGTGATTTTGCTGCCAAACTTCCTGCCAAGATGTCTGCACACAGCAGTGTCGTGTACAAGGATAGCTTGTTGGTTACTGGAGGTATTAATGAAGATCAAGATGTCTACTTTGACTGTATTCATGAAGTTCAACTTAAACCACCTTACACTGTTAAACTGCTATCCAAGATGCCTGAACCAAGAGTTCATCACAGCATGATACTATGTGATGATAGTATTTTGATCGTTGGGGGAAAGAAATCATGGGACTGCGAAGACACCCTCAGCAATGTGTTAAGCTATGACATCAAGAAGAATGAATGTCGACAGTTACGTGCGCTTCCCTATCCAGTGAGTCAAATGGCGACAGTCAAGTGGGCTGAGAATGTCGTGATCATTGGTGGGGCTGACAAGGATGGTAAAGCATTAAACAATGTTACAATTTATAACATCAAGACTGGAAACAGTCATATGTTGCCTCCCATGTTACACAAAAGGACAGGATGTGTGGCAGTTGTTATTGAGAATACAATTGTAGTGCTAGGAGGAAGTGATGAGAGAAGGCGTATTTTGAAATCAGTTGAAAGTTTCAATTTTGAGCGATTTTCATGGCAGGAACTTCCTGAAATGAAGGAAACCAGATACTGGGCTACAGCTGTCGTGATCTAGACGTGCTTGTATAGAAGATGTAGAATGTTAAAACTTTGACATTTACAACTCCAAAGTTTTAACGATTTTAACAAAGATTAAAGAACCATACGTGACTATACCAATATGTCTGAGAAGCTCTCGACAAGATCAAAACTCATTGCGCAGAATTTTCTAAAACTTTGACATATATCTCAAATCATTTCGAGATTTACGAATATATGCAAGAACAGTCAGACTATAGTACTAAAGCTGTCATTATCGAGACAGGTTTAAAAATAGTATTTCTAGGCTTCAACATTATACTTGTAAAACATTTATAGTCAATCATATAAAAACAATTCTTCTCTTCTAACTTGTATTGTAGACTACTTTCATAATATAGATGAGTTTAAATAATTATTTTATATTCTTATATTCTAATTAGCCATTCCGAAGTTGATGATAGGACTGGGGACAAGTGTTAAAAAGTGCCCAAATTAAGAAATGAATCAAATAACTAAAAAGACCACCTCAAAATTAGTAAGTATGTATTGTTACATGAATACCAATCGAATAATAAGCTTTCGAAAATTGTGAAATTACGGATTAAAATATTGTGCGTCCCAAAAACAAAAATTACAATACATTTCATAGTAAATATTGTGATTTTCGAAAGCTTATTATTCAAATGATATTTATGTAAACCGTCTTCAAACTTTGTTTACTTACTATTTTCGAGGTGGTCTTTCTAGTGATTTGGTTCGCGTTTCTTAATTTGAGCACTTTTTAACACTCGTCCCCAGTCCTCTCATCAACTTCGGAATGGCTAATTCGGTCACAAAAACGAGGTCGAAAAGGCTTTATATTAAAATATACATAAACGAAATGTACATAAACGAACAAAATGAAGTATACATACGCACGCTAGCTTTGGAAAGTAGATTGTTAACACTGAAATATCCCAAAAGCATGGATTATCCTGAAAAGAGGTCCCCAATAATGTTAACCAACTCTTTTGTTCAATGCCTGCAATCATGTTAAGGGTTTCGTAGACCCACTCTGTACAACCATTTCCCACGTTTTAGAAAGATTCGATGTCATTTGATTTGTTTCCGACCAATTCTGAATCCCTTCATCCTCGGCGGATGCAGAATCCAATCCTGATTTTGCTGGGGCACTTGCCGTTATATCATCAGCAAATTTGAGCGAATTTTTTAATGTCACTCACTCAATTACATCCGCCAGGATGGGAAAATCAGCGACAAAATTATTAGTGCGAACAGGGTATACCGAACCATTACAGAAAGCGTGGGGTGGACTTGCTCAAATTCCTCGACTCATTTCAAGTTCGCCTATTGACTCAACTCGACTGAAGCCATTGACTCAACTCAACTCGAGTGAAATCAATGACTCGAATCCACTCGTGACTCGATCAGCACTCGACACGACTACACATGTAAAAATCTCACAACCTGTCAAGCAGATGTGTTCGCAAGCTGTGTTAACCAGATGTGTTAGCAACTTGTCAACCAGATCTGTTCGCAAGCTTGTCAGCAAGTTGTAACAACCCTGTTATTTTATCAAGTTGGTACAAGTTTGTCACTCACAACCTGTTCAGAAATTGACGAATTGCAGGATAATAAGTTGTTGGAACAACTTGTAACAAGTGTGTCGAGCTCCACAACCCTGCACCAAGTTCTCAACAAGCCTCTCGCAACTTGTGAAAAAGCTGGGAACAAGCAGTGCGAACATATCCTGTTGACAAGTTGTTGGAACACCATTGCTACAAGTCTGCTACAGGTTTGTTACAACATGTGCGTTTTTACGCGTATACTCGACTTTTGAGTGATTCGACTCGTGACTTGACCCTTGCATGACTCGTTAATATAACACTGTCCTAACATATATTCTAACTTTAATCTTAACATAGTTGCAGCAAACAAGTTAACCTAGTTGTATTGTATTGTAATTGTAATGATGAACTGTCTGTGCCAATGTAGGTGGTGCCAATATAAATAACAAGCTTTCGTTGGTAGGATGCAACTACCTGAAAAATATAAGGAGAATTTCGACATTTCGAACGAAGGCCCTTCGTCTTCTCTCAAAACGTCGAAATTCTCCTTATATTTTTCAGGTAGTTGCATCCCTAGCAACGAAAGCTTGTTATTGTAATTGTAACTCTATTATGAGGCCAATATCCTAGATAATTCTCAACTCTAATTCAAGGACTTGCTAAGAATATGTTCATAATACTGAGAATGGTTAATTAAGCCAGAAAGACACCCCGCAGTATGATAGACTAACATTGTCTTTGAAATGAAGGCTCATTCTAGCCGGCTTTATTTTCGTATAATATTATAGACAGCCATTTCCAATACATACTGGCTATATCATTGATTTTTATATACCAATGATCATGATTTGCAATTGTAGTAAAATTTTTAGTAATTTCAATTCCTAGTCTCATCGACATAGTTAGAGAATCATTGAGCCAACAAGGCACCCTACAGTGTGATTGACTTTCAAATTCCTTCCAGAACTTTATTTTCACAAAGTAAGGTCGTCCAACTGCTAATCAATCTTACTATGTTTTTATTTTATATATCAATAACTTGTTATTTGATATTTCTAGTAACTTGTATTCATAGCACAGAAAATGATTAAGCGAGCAAGTAACCCTACACAGCGCGACTGATTTTGAAGTGAAAATATCTTTAACAAAGCCGGAAATTCCTTTACACCACAACACACAACCAATCGAAAACTACCATAGCTAGACATCATGTCGATATCTTTGTCAAGAAAATGCAAATCTTGTGCTGTGCTTTTGCAAAACAAGTTATTGTAGACGCTTTGAATACTTTGATCATATACATGCCATACACTTGAATCCCTGTCTGGCTGTCGTTTAATACTGGTCATTTGGTTCAATGTTTAAGAATGTTTACTAAATATTTTACAGGAGTCAAATAAAGGTATAAAACTGTCTCTTTCGATAAGATTTGTACAGCACAGCGATCAATAGCATTATTAATATCTAATATTTGTTTTACTTTTAATTTAGGAAGACAGCTAGTAAATATGGCATCGAATTATCCACTCGGGTACGATGACGAAAGATTCCAGTCGATAGTGAACCAAAATTTCCACTGTTTGATTTGCTATAACGTATTGAAAGACCCCGTGATGTGCCGCAGAAACGAGCATTATTTTTGCCGCGGCTGCATCACGGAACATCTTCGCAGGAATTCCCACAAATGTCCAACGTGTGCTGACGAGCTGAGTGTTGAAACATTGCAAGACGTTCCAAGAATTGTGAAGAATTACTTAAACGAACTAAGTATACGTTGCGATCATTACGACAGAGGATGTCGAGAACTCGTACAGCTGCAGAATTTAAAGCGACATGTCGCCGAATGCAGATTTACTCCAGTCGTTTGTGGAAATCAAGGTTGTGGTGAGACAATCAGTAAAAGAGATCGTACATATCACGAGAGTGAACTGTGTCAATTTAGAAAGTTGAAGTGTCACAACTGTGGAGAAATCAGCACGATGGCGGGAATGAAAACGGAAATGGCAAACATCAGCACGAAAATAGCGAACATCAACACGAATCAGGCGGATACGAGTACGAAATTGGCAAAAATGAACACCAATATGACAAATGTTAGAAGTGGCACAGCGAGTGGCGGGAGAGAAAATCAACATATATTTGTTGCTGGTGGTGTGGGGAGCAAGTCGGTAGAAATATTTAACAACCAGCAGAGATTGTGGTCTTTATTAAAGCCCATGACAGAGATACGTCGCTGGGCATCTTCATTCGTTCACAATAATCATGTCACTGTAGCGGGAGGTGCGTGTGATGATCGTGCTGAAGATAACATGATCCGAATGAACATTCACCCAGTCCCTGATCTCTCAGTTAACTGGAGTGAATTTGCTGCCAAACTTCCTGCTAAGTTGTATACACACAGCAGTGTGGTGTACAAGGATAGCTTGTTGGTTACTGGAGGTTGTAATGCAGATCAAGATGTCATCTCGGACTGTATTCACGAAGTGCAACTTAAACCACCTCACACTGTTAAACCTTTATCCAAGATGCCTGAATCAAGACTTCATCACAGCACAATACTATGTGATGATAGTATTTTGATCGTTGGGGGAAGGAAATCAGGGAACTGCGAAGACAACCTCAGCAGTGTGTTAAGCTATGACATCAGGAAGAATGAATGTCAACAGTTACCTGCGCTTCCCTATCCAGTGAGTAACATGGCGACAGTCAAGTGGGGTGAGAATGTTGTGATCATTGGTGGGACTGACAAGGCTGGTAAACCATTAAACAATGTTATAATTTATAACATCAAGACTGGAAACAGTCATATGTTGCCTCCAATGTTACACAAGAGGAAAGGATGTATGGCAGTTGTTATTGAGAATACAATTGTAGTACTAGGAGGCGCGAATGAGAGACGGAATCTTTTGAAATCAGTTGAAGGTTTCAATTTTGAACGATTTTCATGGCAGGAACTTCCTGACATGAAGGAAACCAGATGTCAGGCTACAGCTGTCGTGATTTAGACACGATCGGAAACTATTGTATATAAATTTTGTAGAATTGTTAAGTTTGAGATATATCTCAAAAGTTTTAGAAGTTTAGAGTAGATCAAAAAACTGCTTGACTGTTGTGATGTGGACATGTTTGTAAATATTATGTGGAGTAGAATGTTAAAATGCATGGTAGAATGAAATATACTGTGAAATTTTTCCAGTTTACAACATAGATTAAAGAACTATTTTATCCCATAACCCAACACTCTTTTTTGAGGCTGAACTCTCATAAACTTTGAGCTGGTTCAAGTTTTTGATGAAAGTTGATGAGAGTTTTTGCTCGTTTAAACAGAACATCCAGTCGACTGTCATTAACTCTCATTCCACTCTTGTTCCCAGTGTTTGAAAACTCATGTAAGTAGAGTTTGGTTGGTTCATTGACTCTTATCAACTCTGATTAAATTTACGCGATGCTGTCTGTAAATTCAGAATCAGAGCCGGAATACGGTATGTCGTTTACACTGATTTGCCACATGCAATTGCTGGTTGGGGGAACATAGTTTGTAGAAATATTTAATGTAATGTTTGTCTGGTTTAAGTTACTGCCTATTCTGCATTTTCGTTTGTTCCTATAGTGGCAATAGTGCGGTATTCTTATGTAGAGTTAAATAGACAAATGTCGTAAAAACTAACCTCTGCACAAATATTGAAAATGCAGAATAGACAGTAACTGAAATCAGGCCAACATTACATTAAACACTCGACAGACTTTGATTTGCAACCAGAGATTGACGCAAGTTGCGTTATATAATTCACTGTTTACTGTTCAAGCCATATATTTCAACGTGATATGTGAATTACGAAGGAACAGAAAGATAAAACTCTCTAGTAGTATTTCCACATTTATAGCAGAAACTTTTTTAGCAATCTTTGAAGTTTGAACAAATTCCCTTGTGTAATCTTTAAATATTTCTCATAGTTATGTAGTATATGCATGTCTTCCTTGCAAATTTCTTTACATCAAGGCAGGAAACAGTCATATGTTGCCTCCCATGTTACACAAGAGGAGCGGATGTATGGCAGTTGTTATTGAGAATACAATTGTAGTACTAGGAGGGTGGAATGAGCGCGAGAAACATTTAAAATCAGTTGAAGGTTTCAATTTTGAGAGATTTTCGTGGCATGCAGGAACTTCCTGAAATGAAGGAAGACAGATATCTGGCCACAGTTGTTGTGATCTAGACATGATAAAAAACTATTGTATATATATAAATTGTGGAACTTTGACATGTATCTCAGATGTTTACAAATTTAGCGTAGGTCAAAGAACTGCTTGACTGTTATGATCTAGACATCTTTGAAATTTATTATAAAGGGTAAAATGTAATATTATGTAGAGTTATGTAGAGTAGAATGTTAGAATGCATGGTAAAATGAAATATACTTTGAAATTTCTCCAGCTTATAACATAGATTAAAGAACTATTTCATCCCATAACCCAACAGCCTTTTTTGAGGCTGCACTCTCATGAACTTTGAGCTGGTTGATTAATTTTTTTATGAACGTTGATGAGAGGTTTAGTTCGTTTAACCAGAACGTCCAGTCAACTCTCATTAACTCTCATGCCACTCTTGTCCCAAGTGTTTGAAAACTCATGTAAGTAGAGTTTGGTTGCTTCATCGACTCTCATCCATTCTCACCAACTTTGAACTGATGAAAGGTTTTGTAATCGCGCTGTATTATCCATTCAACTCCCTTGTTGGAATAAGTATCTAATTTTTGGTAGTACACACGTAAAAATCTCACAACTTGTCAACAAGATGTGTTCGCAACAGGCGTGTCAACAAGTTGTAACAAATAACAATGCCGCTATTTTTGTCAAGTTGCTCACAAGGTTGTTACTCACAACTTTGTTTTGTTTTGTTTGCTTTACAGCCAGCGATAGAGGCAAGTTGCAAACGACCTACTACTTTATTCTCAGATTTTGTGATTAACAACGTCGCGTTTATTTAACAATTATTCGTCGAAGGCGAGGTGATTATCGGGGAATATTATACCTCAAATTCAAATTGTCCAATCAGGAAGCTTAGTTTGTGCCACGTGAGCATGATATTAATTGCGATATCACGCCTTACGTCATCAATTAGGGAGTCTGCGTTCCTTTTGACGATATTATGTTCCACCCCATGTTCCCCGGGTTATGAAGCCTATACAGCTTTTATAGCGAAGCCTTGGCGCCTTGTTGAGCGTAAGATAGCGCGGCCACAAAAATCCTGAATCAGACATGTTTTCGCTCGTTAAAAGTCACGAAGTTAAAGCTCTTGTTTGACATATATAAACAAATCCCAATACAAAGAACGGCGCAACGAATCAAAAGCCAATATTCAAAAGGAAGTCATGACCTTTTGTCACACGACTTTGAATATTTCATTTCAGATCAAATTCTTGTCTGAGATACTTTATATGTGTGGCAACTCTCAGTCTATTACCCGTGGTGGCAATAAAACGACTTTACAAGGAAGTGATATACGTCTGTTGTTTGAAACGGTTCTTTCAGTTATAAATTGCAACGAAATACTATTGCAAATCTACGAAAACAAAGCCGGTGTATACGGATATCTTATATGGCTGTATATGTGAGGATATTTGTGCTTGAACTGACTGGTTGAAGACTTGAAGTAAGAATATAATTTGCTTTATATTTTAAGAACGGCGAGTATATAAAAATATGACATCAAGCTTATTTTTGCACAAGATTTGTAGAGCACAGCGATCAGTAGTATTAAGCATCTAATACAGCCAGCAGACAAACTGAACTACTTATGCTTGTGATGTTACTCTAAGTGTATATCCAGACCGGGTAACCTTGAAAAATATGCCTGTCCTTTGGAATACTAGCCCAATGCTCTTGCAACTGAGCTACGCGGTCAGGTCGGTTCGAGTATGTGATATTTCGGAACAGAATCTAGTTCCTTCCATATCAATGCAATCTAGTATAATCATAATTTCAATCTACCATTTTAAGTTATTACTTTCGTGCCTTGGAAATTTCCTACGATCCAGAAAATCCAAGAACATTCAAAACTATATGTACCAAGTGTAATACGGCTCAAACTCTGGTTCAGTCTCTTAAGTGCTGCTATTAGTTATATAGTTTTACTTAGATAGCTTTTATGTGGGTATGTCCTAACTCGAGCCCGCAGTAATTGGCTCACGCCGTTGCGGTCACCCTGTCTCACCCTGAGACTTAGTCTAGCCCTCATTATAGTATATCAAAATACAATGAGATTAGGGTACCTTAGGGTGTGTTAGGGTACATCAAACTACCTTAGATAAGACAAACATAGAGTACATTAGTCTACCTTAGCTTACCTTGGCCTACCCTAGGGTATCTTGGAGTATACCACGTCTATACCTGCCTATACCTTGTAATAGTATTGTGTATTGTAATATGGCGAAACTAATAAATAAATAAATAAATAAATAAAATATTTACTTTATTTTTAATATAGCGAGTAAATATGGCATCGAATTATCCACTCGGGTACGATGACGAAAGATTCGAGTCAATAGTGAACCAAAATTTCCACTGTTTGATTTGCTACAACGTATTGAAAGACCCCGTGATGTGCCGCACAAACGAGCATTATTTTTGCCGTGGCTGCATCACGGAACATCTTCGTAGGAATTCCCATACATGTCCAACATGCGCTGACGAACTGAATGTCGAAACATTGCAAGGCGTTCCAAGAATTGTGAAGAATTACTTAAACGAACTAAGTATTCGTTGCGATCATTACGACAGAGGATGTCGAAAACTCGTACGGCTGCAGAATTTAAAGCGACATGTCGCCGAATGCGGGTTTACTCCAGTCGTTTGTGGAAATCAAGGTTGTGGTGAGACAATCAGTAAAAGAGATCGTACATATCACGAGAGTGAACTGTGTCAATTTAGAAAGTTGAGGTGTCACAACTGTGGAGAAATCGGCACTACGATGGCGGGAATGAAAATGGAAATGGCGAACATCAACACGAATCAGGTGAACACGAGAAAGAAATTGGCAAACACGAACACGAACATGGCAAATATTAGAACGGAAATTGCAAATGTGAACACGAAAATGGAAAATATCAACACCGAAATGGTAGGCATCAACACGAAAATGGCAAACACGGACACGAAACTCGAAAACATGAACACGAAAATGGCAAACTTGCACGCAAACGTGGAAGCGAAGTTCCAAGCGATGAATAATGAAGTGAGAAGAATAAAAATGAGTTTAAATGAAGTAAAAGATGGTTTTGATCACTTGAAAGAAGCAGTACTTGGGAAGATAGAAAGCAAAGAAAGAAAGCAGGAGGAAATCACAAGAGATGTAAGTGGCACAGCGAGTGGCGGGAGAGAAAATCAACATATATTTGTTGCTGGTGGTTTTGGGAGAAACTCGGTAGAAATATTTAACTACCGTCAGAGATTGTGGTCTTTATTAAAGCCCATGCCAGAGAGTCGTAACAGCGCATCTTCATTTCTCTACAATAATCACGTGACTGTGGCGGGAGGTTATTGTGATGCGGCTGTAGATAACATGATCCGAATGAACATTCACCCAGTCCATGATCTCTCACATAACTGGAGTGATTTTGCTGCCAAACTTCCTGCCAAGATGTCTGCACACAGCAGTGTCGTGTACAAGGATAGCTTGTTGGTTACTGGCGGTATTAATGAAGATCAAGATGTCTACTTTGACTGTATTCATGAAGTTCAACTTAAACCACCTTACACTGTTAAACTGGTATCCAAGATGCCTGAACCAAGAGTTCATCACAGCATGTACTATGTGATGATAGTATTTTGATCGTTGGGGGAAAGAAATCATGGGACTGCGAAGACACCCTCAGCAGTGTGTTAAGCTATGACATCAAGAAGAATGAATGTCAACAGTTACCTGCGCTTCCCTATCCAGTGAGTCAAATGGCGACAGTCAAGTGGGCTGAGAATGTCGTGATCATTGGTGGGGCTGACAAGGATGGTAAAGCATTAAACAATGTTATAATTTATAACATCAAGACTGGAAACAGTCATATGTTGCCTCCCATGTTACACAGAAGGACAGGATGTATGGCAGTTGTTATTGAGAATACAATTGTAGTGCTAGGAGGAAGTGATGAGAGAAGGCGTATTTTGAAATCAGTTGAAGGTTTCAATTTTGAGCGATATTCATGGCAGGAACTTCCTGAAATGAAGGAAACCAGATACTGGGCTACAGCTGTCGTGATCTAGACGTGCTTGTATAGAAGATGTGGAATGTCTAAACTTTGACATTTACAACTCCAAAGTTTTAACGATTTTAACAAAGATTGAAGAACTATACGTGACTATACCAATGTCTGAGAAGCTCTCGACAAGATCAAAACTCATTGCGCAGAATTTTCTAAAACTTTGACATATATCTCAAAACATTTCGAGATTTACGAATATATGCAAGAACAGTCGGACTATAGTACTAAAGCTGTCATTATCGAGACAGGTTTAAAAATAGTATTTCTAGGTTTCAGCATTATACATGAAAAACATTTATAGTCAATGATATAAAAACAATTCTTCTCTTCTAATTTGTACTGTAGACTACTTTCATAATATAGATGAGTTTAAATCATTATTTTATATTCTTATATTCTAATTAGCCATTCCGAAGTTGATGATAGGACTGGGGACAAGTGTTAAAAAGTGCCCAAATTAAGAAATGAATCAAATAACTAAAAAGACCACCTCAAAATTAGTAAGTATGTATTATTACATGAATACCAATCGAATAATAAGCTTTCGAAAATTGTGAAATTACGGATTAAAATATTGTGCGTCCCAAAAACAAAAATTACAATACATTTCATAGTAAATATTCTGATTTTCGAAAGCTTATTATTCAGATGATATTTATGTAAACGTCTTCAAACTGTTTACTTACTATTTTCGAGGTGGTCTTTTTAGCGATTTGGTTCGCATTTCTTAATTTGAACACTTTTTAACACTCGTCCCCAGTCCTCTCATCAACTTCGGAATGGCTAATTCGGTCACAAAAACGAGGTCGAAAAGGCTTTATATTAAAATATACATAAACGAAATGTACATAAACGAACAAAATGAAGTATACATACGCACGCTAGCTTTGGAAAGTAGATTGTTAACACTGAAATATCCCAAAAGCATGGATTATCCTGAAAAGATGTCCCCAGTAATGTTAATTAACCAACTCTTTTGTTCAAGGCCTGCAATTGGTGTTGAGTGTTTCGTAGACCCTCTCTGTACAACCATTTCCCACATTTTAGAAAGATGCAATGTCATTTGATTTGTTTCCGACCAATTCTGAATCCCTTCATCCTTGGCGGATGCAGAATCCAATTCTGATTTTGCTGGGGCACTTGCCGTTATATCATCGATCGGCAAATTTGACCGAATTTTTGCATGTCACTCACTCAATCACATCCGCCAGGATGAGAAAAATCAGCGACAAGATCAGGGTTCGTCAGGGCTCCAAGACCAAGAATTCAAAGACTTTCAAAGATTTTTTCTGCCTATTGTCAAAGACTTTTCAAAGACCTTTGAGAGCAATCAGGTGTCGAAAAATTGCGAGTGTATAAGCACCATTTTTACCAGGTAATTAGTCCCGTCAAATCACATCCTAAAATGCACTTTTTCGTCGATATTTGCGAAAATCTTGTTTCAATCAATCTATTTTATTAGCTAGGAAATCGTATAATCAAATAATCACTGAAGAATTTCACTTAAAGACTTTCTTCGCTTTTTCACACAATCCAAAGACTTTTCAAAGACCTTAAAGACCTGCATTCAAGTTTAAAGACTTTCAAGGATTTCAAAGATCGCTACGAACCCTGAAGATGATTAGTGTGAACCAGACTTAAAGGTGAATTTTATGACTAATTTTACAGACTGCAAGCCAGGGAACCATTACAGAAAGTGTAGGTGGACTTGCTCAAATTCCTCGACTCCCGATTTCAAGTTCGCCTATCGACTCAACTCAACTCAACTCAAGCCATTGACTCAACTCAACTCGAGTGAAATCAATGACAATGACTCGAATCCACTCGTGACTCGATCAGCACTCGACACAACCACACATGTAAAAATCTCACAACTTGACAACCAGATGTGTTATAGCAAGCTTGTCAACACGTTGTAACAACGCCGTTATTTTATCAAGTTGCTACAAGTTATCACTCACAACTTGTTGACAAATTGTTGAATTGTAGGAGGATAACAAGTTTCTGAAACAACTTGTAGCAAGTCTGCTGAGCTCAGCAACCTTGTAGCGAGTTGTGAAAAAGTTGGGACTGGAAACAAGCAGTACGAACACATCCTGTTGACAAGTTGTTGGAACAGCATTACTACATGTCTGCTGCAGGTTGTTACAACTTGTGCGTTTTTACGCGTGTACTGGACTTTTGAGTGACTTCACCTGCGCGTGACTCAATTAATACAACACTGCCCTAACATATATTCAAAATACACTTTTGTCAACAGAGCAAGCGGGTGAAATTTTCTCACGGGCTGTCGAGCTAAGCAGGCCAGCCCGGTGTCCATATATAATCACGAATTGCCATATATATCAATGAATTGCAATGGGTATGTTCGTAAGATATCAATGGTTATATACCAATGATCAACGATTTGAAATTGTGAAAATTTTCAATGAGCCAATAAAGCACCCTACAGTGTGATTGACTTTTAAAATTCCTGATAGAACTTTCCAGCTCTAACAAAGAATCGTTAAACGCTCGACCTCTGCCGTCAATTTCCGAAGTGGACATCCTCACAACATCGCATCCTTGTGACGCAGTTCGGCAACGCAGTTCGCAACGCGACGCGAATTTTTAGTTTTCGAAAACAAATAAAACCGTCAACGGATAAAAATTTTACAAGATATGCAGACCAAATAGCTAAAATTGCTTAAGTGGTTCCGAATATTTCAAAAACATTGAAAAATATTAAAGTTAAATGTCATTGACAACTGAAAATTCGCGTCGCGTTGCCAAATCGCGTCCAGTCTGTATGGACCTTTTAGGTCCAGACACACCGGACGCGATTCGACAACGCGACGCGATCTTTTAGTATTTAAAAGTTAATAAAACAGTGAATGAGAGCAAATTTTAAAAAATATGCAAACCAAATAACTCAAAATGTTATAGCGCTTCTAAATATTTGGAAAATTTAAACTAGGATCAAAGTTATCGGTCAGTGAAAATCGAAAAATCGCGTCGCGTTGTCCAATCGCGTCCGGTGTGTCCTATTTCTATTAACCGTGGTGTGTCTGGACCTTAAGATAGCGCGGCCACAAAAATCTTAAATATTTATACTCCAAATATTTCAGACATGTTCTTCGGTTCTCGCTCGTTAAAAATCAAGATAAAGCACTTGTTTGACACATATGAACAAATCCTAATACATGGAACGGCTCAACCAATCAAAAACCAATATTAAAAGCGAAGTCATGACCTTTTGTCACAAGACTTTCAATATTTCATTTCAGATCAAATTCTTGTCTGGACAAGACGCTCTACATAGGCCTACGTGGCAATAAAACGACTTACAAGGAAGTGATATACGTCTGTTGTTTAAAACGGTTCTTTCAGTTATAAATTTCAAGGAAATACTATTACAAATCCACGAAAACAAAGCCTGTGTATACGGATATCTTATATGGCTGTTTATGTGAGGATATTTGTGCTTGAAACTGGTTGAAGTAAGAATATAATATGCTTTATATTTTAAGAACGGCGAATTATCCGCGAATATAAAACATGGCATCAAGCTGTCTATTTGGGCAAAATTTGTAGAGCACAGCAATCAGTATGATTAAGCATCTAATATTTTCTGTATTTTCAATTTAGCAAAATATAGCGAGTAAATATGGCATCAAATTATCCACTCGGGTACGATGACGAAAGATTCCAGTCGATAGTGAACCAAAATTTCCACTGTTTGATTTGCTATAACGTATTGAAAGATCCCGTGATGTGCCGCAGAAACGAGCATTATTTTTGCCGCGGCTGCATCACGGAACATCTTCGTAGGAATTCCCATACATGCCCAACGTGTGCTGACGAGCTGAGTGTCGAAACATTGCAAGACGTTCCAAGAATTGTGAAGAATTACTTAAACGAACTAAGTATACGTTGCGATCATTACGACAGAGGATGTCGAGAACTCGTACAGCTGCAGAATTTAAAGCGACATGTCGCCGAATGCGGGTTTACTCCAGGCGTTTGTGGAAATCAAGGTTGTGGTGAGACAATCAGTAAAAGAGATCGTACATATCACGAGAGTGAACTGTGTCAATTTAGAAAGTTGAAGTGTCACAACTGTGGAGAAATCAGCACGATGATGGCGGGAATGAAAACGGAAGTCGCAAACCTCAACACGAAAATGGCACACATCACACGAATACAAAAACGGACACGAGAAGAAAGCAAACACGAACACGAAACATGGAAAACATGAACACGAAACAGGAAAACATGAACACGAAACAGGAAAACATGAACACGAAAATGGCAAACTTGCACGCGAAACGTGGAAGCGAAGTTCGAAGCGATGAATAATGAAGTGAGAGAATGAAAATGAGTTTAAATGAAGTAAAAGATGGTTTTGATCATTTGAAAGAAGCAGTACTTGAGAAGATAGAGAGCAAAGAAAGAAAGCAGGAGGAAATCACAAGAGATGTAAGTGGCACAGCGAGTGGCGGGAGAGAAAATCAACATATATTTGTTGCTGGTGGTGTGGAGACAAACTTGGTAGAAATATTTAACTACCGTCAGAGATTGTGGTCTTTATTAAAGCCCATGCCAGGGAATCATCGCAGCGCATCTTCATTTGTTTATAATAATCACGTGACTGTAGCGGGAGGTTGGGGCCGTGATAGTGGTGCTGTAGATAACATGATCCAAATGAACATTCACCCAGTCCCTGATCTCTCAATTAACTGGAGTGATTTTGCTGCTAAACTCCCTGCCAAGTTGCGTGCACACAGCAGTGTGGTGTACAAGGATAGCTTGTTGGTTACTGGAGGTATTAATGCAGATCAACATGTCTACTCTGACTGTATTCACGAAGTCCAACTTAAACCACCTTACACTGTTAAACTGGTATCCAAGATGCCTGAACCAAGAGTTCATCACAGCACAGTACTATGTGATGATAGTATTTTGATCATTGGGGGAAGGGAATCACAGCACTACGAAAACAACCTTAGCAGTGTGTTAAGGTATGACATCAAGAAGAATGAATGTCAACAGTTACCTGCGCTTCCCTATCCAGTGAGTGAAATGGCGACAGTCAAGTGGGCTGAGAATGTCGTGATCATTGGTGGGACTGACAAGGATGGCAAAGCATTAAACAATGTTATAATTTATAACATCAAGACTGGAAACAGTCATATGTTGCCTTCCATGTTACACAAGAGGAAAGGATGTATGGCAGTTGTTATTGAGAATACAATTGTAGTACTGGGAGGCGCGGATGAGAGAGGGAATTTTTTGAAATCAGTTGAAGGTTTCAATTTTGAGCGATTTTCATGGGAGGAACTTCCTGACATGAAGGAAACAAGATGGTTAGCTACAGCTATCGTGGTCTAGACATGATCGAAAATTATTGTATATATACTTTGTAGAATTTTATAACTTTGACATCCTTATGCTCCTTATGAGCACATTTGATCTATATCAAAGAACTGCTTGACTGTTGTGATGTGGAATTTTTTGTAAATATTATGTAGAGTAGAATGTTAGAATTAATGCATGCTAGAAATTTGAAATATACTTTGATATTTTTTTCTGGTTTATAACATACAGATTAAAGAATTATTTTATCCCATAACCCAACAGTCTTGTTGTTCACTCTCGTGAACTTTGAGCTGGTTCAACTTTTTGATGAAAGTTGATGAGAGTTTTTGTTCATTTAAACAAAACATCCAGTCAACTCTCATTAACTCTCATACCACTCTTGTTCCCAGTGTTTAAAAAATTCGTGTAAGTAAAGTTTGGTTGGTTCCTCGACTCTCATGCACTCTCGTTGACTTTGAACTGGTTCAAATTATTTTATGAGAGCTGATGAGAGCTTTTGTAATCGCGCGGTAATATCCAGTCAACTCCCATAAACTCTCATGCATGCAAACTCTCGCTTCTCAACTCTCATCAACTCTCATGCGAACTCTCGCTTCTCAACTTTCATCAACTCTCATATGCAAACTCTCGCTTCTCAACTCTCATCAACTCTCATGCAAACTCTCACTTCTCAACTCTCATCAACTCTCATGCAAACTCTCACTTCTCAACTTTCATCAACTCTAGCTCATGCAAACTCTCGCTTCCCAACTCTCATCAACTCTCATGCAAACTCTCTCTTCTCAACTCTCATCAATTCTCATGCAAACTCTCCCTTCTCAACTCTCATCAACTCTCATGCAAACTCTCCCTTCTCAACTCTTATCAACTCTCATGCAAACTCTCGCTTCTCAACTTTCATCAACTCTCATGCAAACTCTCGCTTCTCAACTTTCATCAACTCTCATGCAAACTCTCGCTTCTCAACTCTCGTCAACTCTCATTGTGGTTTGAGCAGGGTTTAACTGAGCCTCGGTCAAACGGGGACAAGAGTTGATGAGAGTTGGTAGTCACGCATTGTTGCAGGGGATATTTCAAGATTTAAATGAACAAAATAAAGCTTTCGTGAGTGTTCCAACTATGTTTTAATAGAATACATGATAGTGTTGGGAGCCTCAGGTGAATTGGCCAACCACGGCTTGTGCAATCAACATTAAATTTTTATTTATTTTTTTTTATTTTATTTATTTGAATTCGCCATTTTCGATGACAGGTGAAGGACACAGAACCATTAGTCCCAATTGAAGTCCTACACCGAATATTTGTGCCTAACCCACCCTGTCAACTTTCCCTGTGGGAGGAAACCGGAGTACCCGGGGAAAACCCACGACCTTCGGCAGAGCGTTGACTTTTTACTCTTTTCACATGAGGACTGGGTTCGAGTCGCATTGAGAAAGTTCTCACTGAAACTCGAACCTGCGGCCTTAGAGGTGAAAGGCAAGTGCTCTAACCACTTGGTCTAACCACTTGGCCAAATCATTATTGTTATAATTTTAATTATCACAAACCTCAATGCCTTCCCTCATATATTCCTCTTGTTCAGATTTCAATGTCAGCTCAATGAACAGTTGCTGGAGTTTCTCGTTGCAATAGTTGATGCAAAATTGTTCATAACTACAGAAAAAAAAACATTGTTAACATTGTTAACCTTTAAGCAAGTTGCAACAGATCTGGAAAGAAGTTGTAACAAGGTTGTTGTCAAGCCAATATCAGAATGTGTTCGTACTGCTTGCTCCCAGTTGTTGCCGGACAATTCTGGAACAAGCTGTTATCACCTTGTTACAACGTTGATGACGGTAACAAACTTGGTACAGTTGTTCCAACAAGACTAATGCAGGGTGTTCGTAACAGGTTGCTACCAGCTTGTTGTCATCAACTTCCTTTCAACTTGTCACGTGCACACTACATCAGACATGTTGGAACAACTTGTTGCGAGTGTGTTGGCCTCATCAAGCTTGTTACAGTTGGTAAACAGCTCGTTCCAAACTTGTTACAACAACTGGGAACAAGCAGTGCGAACACAACATGTCGACAGCTCGTGAACACATTTGTAACAACTTGTTTGCAGACCTGTAACAACTTGTGCGTTTTTATGTGTGTATCGTCTGCACGTCACAAGTTGTTAACAAGTTGATGGCAACAAGCTCGTAGCAACTTGTTACGAACACAGCCTGTACTAGTCTTGTTGGAACAAATTGTAACAAGTCTGTTATCGTCATCAACCTTGCAACAAGGTGATAACAACTTGTTCCAGACTTGTCACAACAACTGGGAACAAGCAGTGCGAACACATCCTGATATCGGCTTCACAACAACCTTGTTACAACTTGTTTGCAGTTCTGTGACAACTGGCAGTTTTTACGTGTGTACACAAGCTGTAAGTTCTTTCAACGTTTTGGCCTTAGATTTAATTTAATATATAGTTTAATTCGGTAGCGAAACTAGTCATAGCAACAAGTCATGCTGTGCACATTTTTAATGATTTGCATGATTCAAACTTCAGAAATATATTGTCTTCTATACGCAAAAACGCACAAGTTGTTACAGGTTTGCAAACAAGTTGTCACAATTCTGTTCACAAGCTGTCGACAAGTTGTGTTCGCACTGCTTGTTCTCAGTTGTTGCAACAAGTTTGGAACAAGCTGTTAACAACTTGTAACAAGCTTGATGACATTATCAGACTTGTAGCGAAGTTGTTCTAACAAGACTGATACAGTCATGATATAACAAGAATGTTACAAGGTTGACAACACAAGTTTGTAACAATATTGTTATATCATGACTGTATCGTTGGGATAACCTTGCAACAAGTACGATAATGACAACAAGATTGTCACTACAAGTTGTCAACAGCTTGTTCCAAACTTGTTGGCGACAAGATGTGAGACATGTGTGCAGGTAGTACACACGCAAAAATCTCACAACTTGTCAACAAGACTGATCAGATGTGTTCGCAACAGGCTTGTAGCAAGCTTGTCAACAAGTTGTAACAATGTTGCTATTTTTGTCAAGTTGCTCACAAGGTTGTTACTCACAACTTTGTTTTGTTTTGTTTTGTTTTGTTTTGTTTTGTTTTGTTTTGTTTTGTTTTGTTTTGTTTTGTTTTGTTTTGTTTGTTTTGCAGGCAGCGATTGAGGCAAGTTGCAAACGACCTACTACATTATTCTCAGATTTTGTGATTAAGAACATCGCGTTATAGCAAATTTGTTTGTTTAGTTGAGGACCTTTCTGAAAATCACTTTGTGAGAAAGTTTCCGGAAAAGAAAATATTTAAAAAATGGAATAAATTCCGTGATTTCTGGCCATGAATATCAACATCGTTGCTTTCTCCCAAAACGATTTTCTTTACGCTTCGGCGAACTCAGTTCTGTGATTTACAAATCAAGCGAATAGCTAAACGTATGCGCATTAAATTCAAGAAAGACTGTTTTCAATTTACGATAATCGACTTTCAAACCGAGGAGGTTTATCTCATGACGTCAAAACGTAGATTCTAGAATATTGATTACTTCACAGTTCTAAAATATTTCACACGCAAATTGCCAAATATGCAATTTGATATGCAATATGGGACAGCCTATACACTAGCAGGTAAAGATAATTTCTGCGTCAAAACACAGGTTTTTCTTTGCGCTTTGGCGAAACCAGCTCTGCGATTTACAAATCAAGCATACAACTAAACATATCGCGTAATAAACGCAAGAAAACACCGTTTCAAATCATAAACGTTCACATTTCGCAATATTTGTATGTTGGCTGTCTCGTGACCATGACCGATGACGGAATTTCTCGAAATCAAGTCGAACTCGAAAAACAAAGAATCGTTAAACGCTCGACCTCTGCCGTCAATTTCCGAAGTGGACATCCTCACAACATCGCATCCTTGTTGAGAACTTGAGCGTAAGATAGCGCGGCCACAAAAATCTTGAATATTTATACTCCTAATATATCAGACATGTTTTCGCTCGTTAAAAATCACGAAGTTAAAGCTCTTGTTTGACATACATAAACAAATTCCAATACATGGAACGGCGCAACCAATCAAAAACCAATATTAAAAGCGAAGTCATGACCTTTTGTCACAAGACTTTGAATATTTTATTTCAGATCAAATTCTTGTCTGGACAAGACGCTCTACACACGTGGCAATATACGTCTGTTGTTTAAAACGGTTCTTTCAGTTAAAAATTTCAACGAAATACTATTACAAATCTACGAGAACAAAGCCTGTGTATACATATATCAAAATGGCTGTTTATGTGAAGATATTTTCACCATAAGCTCGCTCAAGTAAGAAATATATAATTTGCTTTATATTTTAAGAACGGTTCTATTTGAAAAGGTTATTTTGTGAGGCCTTCAATGGTGTTTTTCGTTTTAAAAGGGGTACAAGTAAACAATGGGTCGACGTGTATCGGGACTTATCATGATAGAATTGATAATTGTTTTCTTTTCTTTTATATATTGTTTTATATTCATGTAGCATGTTTTTTAAAACGAGTTGTTATTTTGCGCGTGGATAATAGGAGTGGAATTAAAACTGCACGTTATGTGACAATAGCGCGCGCAGATATAAGCGTCTTAAATAAACGCGAATAGCGCTTTTGTTTTGTCATCAATATATAGTGATTTCCCAAAGCTTATTGTTTGCGATGATAGTCAAGTGAAACCCAACATAGAGTTTGCATAAATATTATAGAAGTATTTCTATTATAGAAGTATTTGCTATTCAAATATTCAATACTATCAATAACTATCAATACAATACACTATCTGCAAGACTGCAACGGAATAAATTGCGTCTAATCTGATATGTATAATGTACATGCGATTTCGGCGATGCAGTTGTACTGATGCTGTAACAACAGATTACATCATGCAATCTGTGTTAATAAAACATCAGTATCGCTGAAAATGCCTATATTTTACCCAAATTGCATACAAATTCATAGCCGAAACTCGGGAGCCTCGATTTTTTCGAAGATGATGAAAATTAAATATCTCAGGCAGCAGTATATAATTGTGTGCGTACATCTTCAGAAAGTTAGATATATGACAAGTAATGGAGATTTTAATGAATAATCTTGATTATATATTACGCGATGCTGTAAGTCGGTAAATTGCAGAATCGGAGAATACGGTCGTAGGTCGTTTACAATTTGCCACACGTAATTGCTGGTTGGGAAACATAGTTCGTAGAAATATTTAATGTAATGTTTGCCTGGTGTAAGTTAATACTGCCTATTCTGCATTTCGTTTGTTCCTAGTGGCAGTATTCTTATATAGAGTTACTGTCGTTCCAATTGAAGTGTTGCTCAAATATTGATTCAATACATTACCTCGGGCTGACCAATTCATTTGATCAAGTTCCTCGAGATATTCATACACTTCCTAGTATAATTGTAAACTTCCTGTTGAATAGTTTGAATGCACCAATCACCTTTGTTGTTTGTGCAACTAACCAATTATAAATAGAAAGGAAGTGACCAGAAATGATCAAATACTTGGAATTGGCTCTTTCACAGGAAGTGTATGAATATCTCGAGGAACTTGATCAAATGAATTGGTCAGCCCGAAGTAATGTATTGAATCAATATTTGAGCAACACTTCAATTGGAACGACAGTAAATAGACAAATGTCGTAAAAACTAACCTCTGGCTCTGTACAAATATTGAAAAAATGCAGAATAGGCAGTAACTGAAACTGATCAGGCCAACACTACACTAAATACTTCGACAGACTTTGTTTTGTAGCCAGCGATTGAGGCAAGTTGCAAACGACCTTCTTTATTCTCAGATTTTGAGAACCGGCCATATTTCAACGTGATATATGCAAATTACGAAGGAACAGACTGATAAAACTCTCTAGTAGTATTTCTACATTTATAGAAATTTTTTTAGCAATCTTTGAACTACTGGGCTAGTATTCCAAAGGTCGTAGGTTCGAATCCCACCGTGGCCGGGCATATTTTTCAAGCTGGCCCGGTGTGGATATGCACTCAGAGTAACATCACAAACATATTATTCACCTGAGTACACAACACCAGCACAGAAAAAAAATTCATATTACAAGAACACATTGGTATTGAAGGAACTAGATACTGTTCCGAAATATCACTTACTCGAACTGTCCTGACCGCGTAGCTCAGTTGGAAGAGCATTGGGCTAGTATTCCAAAGGTCGTAGGTTCGAATCCCACCGTGGCCGGGCATATTTTTCAAGCTCGCCCGGTGTGGATATGCACTCAGAGTAACATCACAATCATATTATTCACCTGAGTACACAACACCAGCACAGAAAAATTCATATTACAAGAACACATTGGTATTGAAGGAACTAGATACTGTTCCGAAATATCACTTACTCGAACCGTCCTGACCGCGCAGCTCAGTTGGAAGAGCATTGGGCTAGTATTCCAAAGGTCGTAGGTTCGAATCCCACCGTGGCCGGGCATATTTTTCAAGCTCGCCCGGTGTGGATATGCACTCAGAGTAACATCACAAACATATTATTCACCTGAGTACACAACACCAGCACAGAAAAAAAATTCAATCTTTGAACGTTCCCTCGTATAATTTTTAAATATTTGTCATAGTTATGTAGTATATGCATGTCTTTCTTGTAAATTTGTTTGTTTAGTTCAAAACCTTTCTGAAAATCACTTTGTGAGAAAGCTTCCTGAAAATAAATATCATTTAAAAAATCGAATAAATCATGTCCGTGATTTCTGGCCGTGCATGAATATAAACATCGTTGCTTTCTCCTCAAAACGATTTTCTTTATGCTTTGGCGAACTCAGGTCTGTGATTTACAAATCAAGCGAATAGCTAAACATATGCGCATTAAATTCAAGAAAGACTGTTTTTAATTTCCGATAATCGACTTCTAAACAATCTACCGCGGAGGTTTATCTCATGACGTCGACGTAGGGAGGGTGTAGCTCACTATAAAGTGACTCGTTGCCGCGTAATATAATGGCTAGAATATAATATAGTTTGAATTATAAAGCCCATGCACATACATTATACAGCCTTTGTAGCCGAAGCCTTGGCGCCTTGCTAAAAATGGTAGATTCTAGAATATTGATTACTTCACAGTTTTAAAATATTTCACACGCAATTTGATATCCAACATGGGACAGTCTACACTAGCAGATAGAGATGATTTCTGCGTCAAAACACAAGTTTTTCTTTGCGTTTTGACGAAACTAGTTCTGCGATTTACAAATCAAGCATAAAACTAAACATATCACGTAATAAACGCAAGAGAAGACCGTTTTACATCATAAACTTTCGCATTTCGCAATATTTGTATGTTGGCTGTCTCGTGACCATGACCGATGATCGGAATTTCTCGAAATCAAGTCGAACTCGAAAAACAAAGAATCGTTAAACGCTCGACCTCTGTCGTCAATTTCCGAAATGGAAATTCTCACAACATCACATCCTTGTTGAGCGTAAGATAGCGCGGCCACAAAAATCTTGAACATTGATACTCTTCGGGCCTGTTCATATGATCCCGCTTACCGGGACGTCTCGCTTACTGAGACGAATATTTCCGTGCGTTCATATGGAGTATTTCGTCCCGCTTGCCGAGATGAAATTACATTGTAGTTCTATAATTAGCGTATGCAAAACTTCTACATTTCAGTCAAGCAACACAAATACTTGGCGATTTTAGTGGTTTTCTTCGTTTATTTACAAGAAAAAGTATTGCTTCAGGTGGTTATTTAATACTTGTTTACAAAACAAACATAAAACCAAGTAAAAAGTGTTAAATTAAACCGGCAAGACTTGTTTCACTTCATCCCGGTAAGCGGGCTGGCGTGTTCATATGGAAAATTTTCATCCCGCCTACCTATGATCTCGGCAAATTCAAACGAGATCTCGGCAAGCGGGCCAGCTCGCTTTCTCATATGAACACAATGCAAAATTTTATAGGAAAATAGATAGGCGGCGAGATCATCGGTAAGCGAGACGTCCCGGTAAGCGGGATCATATGAACAGGCCCTAATA